GACGATCTGTTCAACGACAAAATCTTTTTCAAAAAGATTCTGGACAGACCATTTGGTTATGGAGTTTTTCTATCTGGAGCAGCAGGGAATATGGAACAGAGATGTCGAAATTAAATCAGCATGCAAAGAAGCAAAGTATTCCATATCATCTAGAACACAACAGAGACGCTTGATGTAAGTGTCTCATTTCCTTAAAAAAGCGCCTTTGTTTTAGCACATGGGGTATTGCAATGGCTTTGGAGGTATTTTTTGGGGGGTTATAATAGAAAATTTGGTTTCATTGACGCAAAAAATAAAGCAAAGCAACCACAACGTCCAATCAGAGAAAAGGAGGATATCGAAAGAGTCAGTAAGAACGCATAGTAAAAACAATCATACTGTCTGAAGGGCAGGGAAACGCGAGTGACCAATTCATAAAGCCGATTCTATCAGTACTTTACCACGTCTCAACTTCTTGGCTTGCCTGTCTCCTTCTTGCAGCCGCCAATCTTAAGTGAAGTTAGCCAGTCCTTCCTTTCAAACATGCGGGAGGTATCTGGGTTTCTTATCATCCTCATGTATGCTGCCACTTTTCCGGGATCTGCCTTCATGCCAGTTCTCTCTGCCAGATCAGATTTCGTAGACAATTAAAGCTTAACTTCACAAGTGAAACATACGGCTCCACTTCTTGGCTTATGCAGTGCCTAACCAAGCTGCAGGTCACTGCTAGAACTACTTGCTCCGTACTCGTGCTGTTGTTCGCTAGTAGATTCTAAGTGAGCTCTGTCAATATCCTCTTTGTCAACACTGAGGAATTTCTCCACCCAGTCTCTTTTAAGTCTATCATAAGCTGTATCAAAATTTCAGCGATTGTGGCAGTGCTCGCCAATATCAAGGTGACTCTCTAGCTCACTGCATTTTTTAAAAACCATGTTTCAGCCTGGCTCAGAACCAGCGAAAAGACCATTCGATTATCCACCATCACTATTTGTTGTTTTCTTATGGAGCCGAGCTGCCTTGAGCGGGAAGAAGTTCTCATTTACAACAAGTCCTGTAGGACCCTGAGGCTTAACGGTGAAATCTTGGTAAGGAATCAGCCTACCCTGCCCAATACCATAAGCTCTCCATATTCGCATTCCTTCCCCCTCAAACTTGAAGTTGTGAAAGAAATTAAAAACAATCAAACGAACAAAGAAACAGGCCGTTTCTAAAACACACCTTTGGGGTAGCACATGTTGTCCAGGTTCCTCAGGGTACAGTCAATCCTTTTTTTTTGGGAAACGTATTTGGGGCTGTCCTGGTGTACCGGTACACGGGGGAATTCCTATTGTTTTCATATCCATACATGGAGTTGTGACGCAGTTAGTTAATGTTTCATTCCTTTCTGTACTGGTACACGAAGACACAACCACGTTTTTGCTCTGTATCTTTCTACAGTCTGTGCAGATTATTAGTAATTCACATATTAACGATTTCTGTCAAATCGACACTGGATTTGTAATTTTTAGATAGGAAAAATAGACAATAGGAATGTTAAAACTGGGATGGGGCACTGGGATCGGAACAAATTAAGGCTGGGAGAGAAAGATCCATACCCAACCATATCCATCTACTTTTCCCACCTATCCCCACCGCCCCCTCTTTTCGGGGGCCTCTAAATAACAACCCAGTTCCCCCTCTTGGAACGCTTCAGCAACAGTGAAAACCTCTGTTTCTTTTCTCGCTTTATGCTAACTCCCAATATAAGCCAAAGTAATATGTGTTATGGACTCACTCGCTTGTAAAATGTCCTGAAGGATACAAAGTGATTAGATTGACAACAGTACGTAATGAGAGTGAAACCCAGCGAAATCTACGTTTTAATTTGTCTGTAACGACTAAAACCAAGCCTTACCAGAAGCGTTTCTCTTCTCGGATTACCAGATTAGTTAAAACGACTTGAAAATTAATTAATTTTTACTTGCGCGAACCAACAGGCACAGTGTCTCCCATGATATTTTTTATTTCTCTTGTTGTATTGAAATTAACATCATGTGTTCCAAAAATCGCCGATTTTTTCCTTCATGTCTGGGATCTTGGCAAGTTTTCGGCGCTTGCCAGTACTTTCCTAGCCCATGACGATGACCTGGACAAACCGTCATTTTTTCTATCCGCTATTAGGTCCTTTTCAGACACACTTTCCCTGAAAAGGTGGTGTTAATTAGATGCGCATTGATATCAGAATTACAACACTCAAAGATACTAAATCTGTACCTCCTCGACTACTTTCACATTTGCCTCCCGAAATGTTTGGAAACGAACACGACGCGGCCCTTCTTCAAAGCAGCTAATGCGAATCTTCTCCATGAGAACTTTCAATTATACCCGTCGCAATGTAAATATTTTCGACGTGTTGAGTATAAAATTTGCATGTTACATTATTTGAAATAAGCTCAATTAACATAAAAGCTTACAAACGGACACAAAAAAAAAGAAAAAAAAAAGAAAAAGAATAAGACATATCTTCAATGGAGTTACACTTTCGGTGCATAGTAAGGTAATGTAAGTTGATTAATTGCAGTAAAAAAGGTAATTTATCACTCTTATCGTTTACCATTTATTTCGACCATTCATTTATTTCGATGTGGTTAAAAATGAATCCGTGACATACCAGCGTGACACATGACTGAAATCAGCATTCTCGTAGCTCAGGTAACATGTAGTTGTCTTCATTATTACACCTTTTACATGAGCGTTTCTAAATCTGTAAGTAACGACATTTTAATTTTTTTTACAGCACAAGATGGTTAGGACTAACTAGATGGAATTTTGTCAACGTGTTTTTTACAGTCCGCCTGAGACAGTTTAGCATAATGTTACGCAGAAGACGTTCCTTTCTAACTTCGTAATTCATAATTTTCAGGCACGTTTTGATGAATTTATGGATTCCTCGCCATAAAAAAAAGCTGAGCTAGTTTTCAAAATAGACACTTCTTCAGATATTGATTTTGAACGAGAAAGGAAGTAACCACAAATATGCATAAATTAAGCCATGCGCCCTTTGACCATGGAATGTTACCAAAGTTCATCGAGCTCCTGCAGGTGGAAAACACCAGTCCCCAAAAATGTTTTTCTTGGTTTTGAAACACTAGTCCAAGTGCTAAACACGGATAGTGGTCAGGACTCCAGATTCCATTATCCTTTTGAGAAAAGCTTCTTGGAACTACAGCACGCTTGCTTAAATTTGAAATGGACTGTCTGAGTGGTATTTTTGTTACAACGTAACTCTCAGTTATTGAGTCAGATTTTAGATATTTTGCCATCAATCAATAGAAGCGACGTAAAACTATACAACGTGTCCCTTTTTTGTCATTTGATAAGATGCGTCAAGTTTTAGACCCCTCAGCGAAAAGCTTAAAATTGACTCTGAAATAAACAATTTTCCTTGTCCTGGACCGTCCTTGCATATCATCGCTAAATTTTGGCGAAATAGCACTACGAACCAATTAAATCCGATATTTGCCTATAGAATAGAGTAATCATCTCACTGTGAAAATTTCAAAGAATCCTGTGATCCGCCGAAATTCGAGTGGTCGGTTCTTTCGCGGACAGCCTATTAAACTCTTTACGGTGGTCAATTTACGTTTTCAACTCTGTAGTTAACACTAAATTACCCTATTATACTCTCCCACCGACGCAGCACCACACTTTCTATAGAAAATTACCCCCTTTATCCGTTTCAAAATAAGTTGTATTTTTCAAGCAACTCCAAATAAGACAAATTAAAACGTTTCTTTCCGAGCGAGAGATCATTGTAGGAGCCACTGAGACGCAATTAATAAATAAACACTGCGAGCTTTGTGATGGTGATGGTGACAGGACAAGCTCTGCTTGCCGATAGGTCCCTTCGCGCATACCTCACATGAAAATTTCGTAGGAAGCTGTAGTTGTTTTTTTCCCGTGTGATGCTATACATCAGTCAGAATCATAAGTGGCGCAAGCACGACTTGAGGACCAAGCGAAGTATGACCCCCTTTATTTGATAGAAAGAAAACAATGGCAGATGGCAAAAATAACAGTTCACCTCTGGGACTAATGCTTTTTTAAAAGCAGTTTGCAGTTTATCGGAAACCATTTTTTTTTTCGAGTCGAAGTGGGCAATTAAAGTTAACTGTGTTGCATTTATGTGCATTATGTTGCGTTTCTCTTCGTTATGCGACTCTGTTAACGGTGGATCATATTTTTGAACACCTGCCACGAGTGAATAGAGCACGTTTTGTTGCGTGATCGCTCAAGGATGTTGAAGTTTCTTTAATTAAAAAGCTTACAGCTTGTTTAAATTAGCTGATATTCTCTAAATTACAAACACATCTTCGAGTGTGCTCCTTAAGATAATTTGCCCACTGAAACGACTGCGCTCAAGAGTAAGAGAGAAATAGAAAAATAGTATCCCAGTTGTCCTCTGCAAAACAGCAAAGTGAAGTAAGATCATCTCATTTTTCTTGTTAAAGTATTGTTTTATTGATTAGTTTTTCCTTTAAACTCCAAAAATTGAAATAGTTCGGTGACGTCATTGCTCCAACTTCCTTTTTCGACCCATCACTTAAGTCGCACAACTTCGATATATGCCCAAACATTGGCCAATCAAAAGCGTTTCTCGTTTCCACAGAGACATCAGGTTGACATTGCAAAATAAGCCGGAGGAGACTAAAAGTACGCCACTCACATCCTTGATTCAGAGTCGTCTAAATTGAAGAGCTGGATTATTCCTAATGAAGAAATTCTGAGAGTAATTTCTTTTCCAATGACTTACTCAATTTTGAGACCATTCGCCTTCACTGAGATGGTAAGTTTTAATTTTAAACAATGCACCAATGTTTACGGATTTTATTTTTTTCCACAGAATTTTATTTTTTCCTGGCAATACATGGTTATTGTTTTCCTTTCCATATTTGCTTTGTACTTCTCGTAGAAACAAAACCATTGAAATTTATAGCGTCCTTAAGATGTGGTGTGAAATTTCATAGCCCGACTGTTTAATAATGACATATGCTCCTGCTAAGAGTAAGGAGAGTGGGGGAGGGGGCAGTGAGTAAACCTTGAAAGGATAAAGTATGGTAATTCTTTTGGTTATTTCAAAGATTAAAGAACTTATTTTCAAAATTTGTGGCGAGTGACTCAAAAATTCAAGATCTGTTGTTCTGTTCAGTGGCTACGTAAGTTAAAATCTACCTCCTGCGGAGATTTTGTTATGTTATTTTTGCTAAAAAATTAAAATAACAAGTTTCATGCAAGAATAAATGTCATAGCTCAACGACAAAAATGTAACAAAAAAAATAGAAGGAAACAAAATTTTCAAAGTTAAAGACGATAGCTGCGATAGCAAACAATTTCGTGGCAGTAGCGAGACAAGAATAATATTAAGCAAAATTAGGTTTATTCGTGATAAATTATTTACCTTGAACGGAAGCTCTTCGCATGGAACACCGTTTTAATTATAGATGTCATGAAGAGTTGTTTTCTAAAAAATTCTCTGTTTTCATCATTTAACAAAGACACTTATCTCTTCCGCATGGTTCCTTTAAATACTCTAAATAAAACCCAATTGCGTGTGAAACCTATCCGCGTATTTGTCATCACATGTTGTGTTCGGCGCATTAAGTTTGCCTGAACGGACACTAATACTGTGTTTATTTCTCAACAGTTTTTCCTGGTCCTAGTTTTCATTCTTTGCCAAGTACAAGCTCAAGGTATTTGATGAATTTTCCTCGCAAGTTTTATATTCCGAGGATTTACCCTTAAAGTTATGTTATGGTCAATTTTTACGATGAAATCTATTTCTTGGGGATAAAGTTACGATCAAGGTCTGTGCCTTTGAGCTATTGTATAACAGAAACGTGAATGGACCTTTATAGCTTATTGCAAACAAACGAAATAAGCGAAATTTTTAAAGCTCTTCCTAAACTTTTTATTTAAAAAAAATTCCAAAATTCAAAATGCCGCTATTCTTTACTAACTTGTTTTGTAATCTTTTTTTTTTGGACATAAACAATTGGGCACCCATTGTTATTCCTTGTCAATATTTTTCATCAATGTTTTAAGATATGATTCAAAATAGCACCTGCCTTATTCCATATTTTTATTATTACCTGGATTTAAGGTTTTTGTAATGAGAGAAATCTCTGACTTCATCAGAAGAGCGAATTGAATCCATCCCGACAGTAAAATTGGATGTCTTACAACGGTTCATGGAAGCTGTAAATGTACTGGGTGCATCTATGACATTTCCTAAGAATCGTCTCTTTTGTTCAGTGGCTCTAATTTTTCGAAAAGGGGTAATAAAGGGTATAGACTACTTAAATTTATTAGATATACCTGCAGTTCATACGTCATGGATTAGGCTGCTACTGCTATTTAGGATCATTACAATCGAGTGTAATAAAAGCCCAAGTATGTAATTCAAATGGCAGAAATTTTTTAAAAAATATGTAATCAATAAGCTCAGGAATGGAATTTTTTTTTGTTTCGGCGTACCAAAATCACACGTAGAGTTAACGTGCAAACATTGAATGGTGGCTTGGATTGCAGTTCCGAAGTGTAGCATGTCACATTCTTTACCACGTGTCACAATTCCTTAAATATCCTCCCATGCCACTCAGCCCAAGCTAATCAACCTGCAGTACACGAGCGGATTCAAAGCTCTCGCATGAAATCGAGGCACGAATTCAGTTAATCCAAAATGGCGCCAAAACACTGAGATTAAAGCATCCAGAGAAGAAGTGACACAAATAGTCTCCGATTTGCTAACTTCAAACGTAAAACATCAAAAGTTTAGGTTCAGTTAAAATCATCCACCTAGATGATTCAGACAGATAAAATACTCTTGGATTTCTTGAGACAAAGAAAAAAGGCGCAAAGCAAAACAAACAGATGAGTGCGTGGCAATCATCATTGAATACTGCACGGTTTTTTAGTTAATTAAGTCAAGATTTTTTTTTATAGCATTGTATACTTTGCTCGTACAAATCATATCAAGTGCAATGTCTAGAGGAAACCCATGAAGAAATTTTAAAACTTTTCTGATACCTCTTGCCATTTTCATGCACAAATGGCGAAATATTTCGATGCCACAGCAATAAGAAAACTTGAAAGTGTTCTGGCAGACCGTTCGATGCAACCTCGCCATTTTGCCCGGGAGAACATCTCTCATTTTCGATTCCCGTCCCTCATTCCTTTGCCCATTCATCTGTTTATTCATTCACCTATTCATTGATGCATTCGCTTATACATTTACTTATTTTCATCCATTCATTCATTTCTCAAGTCCAATCGCTGGTTAATTCTTTCATCGTTTTTATGTTCTATTCTGTTTGATTGTTCCTTTTTTCGTGTCCATCAGAAACGGAAATACTTGCAAAGAGTAGCATAAATCCACAATAGAGCTTTGAATCGTTTACAGATCCGTGCTCGAAGGAATCTTGCAAGAATGGTGGAACTTGTTACAGCGGTTCTGAGCGCTGCAGTTGTCACTGGGGATCCTCTGGAAATGACTGTCGCTTTGAGGGTAATGTAGAGTTGAGGATCCTTTTCCACAATTATTCATTACATGTGCACTGGAAGTTCTTCACACATAAATGTTTTGCCTTGATTTTACGTGTATAACAGGGTGCAATAGATCTCTTGGTATTCTGAGCGGTGAAATCAAAGATTGGAGGATCAAACCCAGTCCTGTGAGCCTGCTTCTTGAAGCGACAGGAGGAGCGGGGGACACTTGGAAACCCTACTGGTTTTATAGAGACCTATGGTTTCAGGTTGAACTCCATAATGGATACACCTGGGTTACTGGGATAGCGACACGAGGAAGGCTGATTGCATACGCGCTGCGTTATTTTGGCTACAGAGTTCGGATGCAGTGGTACACGGAGAGAGGACAAAGGCATGCCAAGGTCAAGGAAATAGCGTGAATCATACAGTAAAATCAAAAGACACAGAATGTTTTCTTGCGTCAGACCCAAAACATTTCTGAGAATCTGTGCAGACCCACAGGTCTCATGGAACAGAAAGAGGGGGGAGGGACTAAACCAACTAGACCACCCTGCTGAATTTTCCATGGTTATGATCAGTTATGGAGACGTGAAGATTAGTTGTTTCGAGAAAGTAACCCTCCTTGGAGATCAGTCTTACTGAAACCCCAAGAAGCTCCTCATATAAGTGATACATTTTCATTCTATAGGAGTTTGATTTGTAGAAATCCACTCAGGTCTAAGTATCTTGTACTAATCGTTTCTAATGGTTTTCGTTTACCCGTTGACGGTGCGAAAATGACCTTTCTGAGGTACATTAATTTAAGTTGTTGATATATGACTTCCAGAGTAGCGAGCATGTCAGTCTTTTTACTCTGCTGGAACAAGAGCGAAGACCTTGTAAGTATTTCAGCTGTTAGATGATTCTTTTTAAGGCCAGAAATAAAGTAAGCATGGTATCTTTCTTAATTTCTAGATTTTCACTGGAAATAGACACAAATCTTTTGTTCGCAACAAACTTAAGACACCCATCAGAGCTAGATTCTTCCGTATCTATCCATTGACTTGGAGAGGAAAGATAAAAATGAGGATGAAGCTGTATGGTTGTAAAGGTAAGGTGGATGTAAACACTCATTTAAATGATTGGTAGAGAATAGATGGTAATTTCTGATTATCTATATGGATATCGCTGAATCTTTTTTCACTGTTGGCTGATCGTAAGAGGCAAGGTGATCTTATAGTTTGAAGGCTATCCGGTCATCTCGTTCCATGGCCAAATCGTTCCAAGTCAGATTTTCCCACTCAACAGTCATATCATTTCACCAAATAATCAGTTCATTCCACGCATATAATATATATTTTCTAAACGTGTAAAGGTGATTTGAGTACCGAGTAGCGATCAGAACATAGAGGTGCATGAACCAGAACAAGTTTCTCTCGCGAGTGATACTGTTTAACCCAAAAGCACTTTACATTTGACGCGCCAAACACGCAGGCTACGTAGTATTTTATTGAATATCCTTTGTTCTGTGTTGTGGTCAAAAGTCCACAAAGATATACCCTCGCTATTGTGTGAATAGCTCTCACATCGTTCCGTAATGCACACTGAAATTAACATACGACGCTCTCACTATTGCAAAAATAGTTCTAAAAATACTTTTGTCTATGTTCCGATCGCTACTCTGTATTCAGATTAAAGTTAAACATTTAGAAAATATATATTGTAAGTGTGACCCTCCGCGGGATTTCAGGGAATAAGGTGAACGCACGCACACGGCACGCTCGCACTCTAAAGAAAAAGAACTAGCTTTTAACACGTTAGCTGCGTGCTAGCTACTTGCCTCATTAACTTCGTAGCCATTGTCTTGCTTCGCATGGTAGAAACAAAGGAACGTGTTAAGATATTGCTTATAATTTTGCACGATATAACACGATAACCGTGCCAATTTTATGAGACGCCTCTTAAAGTTGCTTTCGATTTGTAAGGGAAGTACGTCCAAAGCTTTAAGGCTTTTTAGCTCACCGATACACTAAGCTGATACGATACTCAGTATCCAGTGCAACTTCGGTCGCTAAATCGCCAAGCATAAAGGAATGTCTCGACTTGTTTCCTTCATTTTTGAATTCGTCATTTTCTTGCAAAAAAACGGGCCGAACGAGCAAAGTCCTCTGCTCCTGAAATCGTGCATAAACTTTTGAAGGTAACAAGCACAAGCTTTTTGAAGTAATAAGAGCCAACCTGTGTGATGCAAAGCAAATGGCTACTTCGTTGAGGGTAAATTGTGTTCTCACCATGTTAAATTTGTAAAGCAATAAGTACGACAGTCCGTATGATGTAGTGGTAGCGCTTGCGCTCTTTAAATCGACGGTTCGATTCCTGTGCACCACGTGAACGTCATCTTTTTTATATTCTTTATCTGACGGAGTTTGCAAAACAATTCGACATCTCATATACTTTTTTGCCGTGAATGTTTCCTCTTTTTTTACAACTTTCGAATGGGATAGAAGATCCTCCTTATTTTCGCCTATTTGATTTCCCCAGACTTATGTTTGAACATGCCATGTAAGAATGGAGGCAAATGCGTTCCTGATTATATCAACGAGAACTACACATGCGTTTGTCCTGATGGATTTTACGGTGATACCTGCAGATTAGGTAAATAAGCTTATTTTTTTTGCCATTAGTGTTCAATATGCACCATAATATTTATCGAGATGAAGTGGTGGTTAATGTTTGTGAATGGATTGAGAAGAATCCAATTTGGTCTGAAATTAAACATGCACGCTTTCCTAAAAGAACCGGGCGACCGTGAAGCGGAAAACCGATCTGTTCATCAACAAGGTCTTCTTATCGGTGAATTATACCTATGAAAAAAAAAAGAGAAATTGAGAAAATACAGGTCGGAAACGTTGTTTTTAAATATGAAAGTAATAATAGACGTTTTCACAAGAAAACGAAACCAATAATCTCTACAACAGCGCTCCCCGTATAGGTTGTACTACCGAATTACACAGGCAAGACGCCTACACTGTCCTGTTGATAACCAAATCGTAATGGCGATCACCATCACGTTCAACTCTTTTCTTACGGCTCTGAGATGGAAATTACACTCTGAAATGAACATTGAAGTGGTAGAAGGTAATTGTGAAAAGCTGCCTGTCAATTTGACAAAAATGCAAATGTTGCAAGGTTGATATCAAAACCCTTTTTTTTTTGTTTTTAAAAAAGCAAATAATTCATGACTCCAGAGTGAATCCTATTTGCCATTTCTCTATTCCATAAATTGTATTTAATTTAACCATTTAACTAACTGTCGGCATTTGTTTCACAGGTGACTTATGCAAGCTTAGTAAACCTTGCTTACATGAAGGTAACTGCTCAGCAGTCAGATCCTGGCCTTACTTCAAATGCACATGTCCTTCCAATTACACTGGTTTCGACTGTGGGTTCAAGATAGGTAATGCAAATATCCCCAAGTATAGTCCAGACACGTGGAAAGCACAAAGAAAAATAAACAGTAACCACAAGGGTGAAAGGTGAAACGAACGCACAAGCAAAAAACGATCAAACAAAACAGATACAAAAAAAAAGGTTGCTAAAAATTATGCAAAATGGTTTGAACTGTACATCAGTTTTTGGCGAGCGATAATATAAGGTTATCCCGGTATTGAGCGTTTTCAATTTAGTATCGAAAATGATCCATGTTTGTTTTTGTTTTGTTTTACTTCGCTCTGTGATTGGTGTAGAAAACCCGCGCTATCACCCCAACCAATAAAATGCTGAAACCAATCTCAAATTGAATCCCTCCCCCCCTCCCTCCACCTTCCCCTTATATTTTCCGGCATTTTCAGAGGGTTGCTTATTCTTACTATGAGGTCTCATTGCTTAAAGATTACACTTAATATTACAACTGCTCTAACATGTAAATCCAAACGTACATACTGCAATCCTCTTTTCTTTCCACAGGTGATCCATGCAATAATAGCTTTTGTCGTAACAATAGCACATGTCAGCGTATAGAATCCTGGCCGTACAGCCAATGTGATTGTTCTTCTGGATACGCTGGTTTTAATTGTGGAACTGAGATAGGTATGAAATAGCGTAAAACCTCAATTTACAACGGTGGGCGCAATGCAATGTGTCCAATGAGTAACCAATCTTACCCTACTAGTACCTTTCACCACTTGGGTGAAATACCACTGATCTAGAATGGGTTCCTAACAGGCTAGTTACTCTGGACTGACCAGAATCCTTTATAATAAATAATTGAATCAATTCTCCAAGTCCCTTACTCAGGTGGGAGCAAAGAGAGAGAGTATAAACGTCCTAGTTCATACAGCTTAAAGAGCGATGGACAGTCGGGAAAAGCATTTCCTAGGCATAAACTGATAAATAACTGGTGATTTTGTTTGCTAGAACAAGCTATGAATTTCTCGACCCTCGCTCTAACACTTCCTGTCAAAGGGTTGGACTTGTTTGCTCGTAAATTGGTCCATTGATTTTCACTTAAAAAACTGCCTTATTCCATAATATATAATAAATATGTTCAATTTTTTGTTTTTTATCAGTTCATAACTGTCAGTCTCATCCATGTCTGAATGGAGGAACTTGCTCACAGGATGGCACAGGATATTTCAGATGTAGTTGTCCTGCACGATTCTTTGGCTATTTCTGTGAATATAAACGAGGTAATCTGAAAAATGTCGGAGACCTTTAGATTTCAAGCAATGGATGTAGTTTTAGTTGTCCTAAACGATTCTTTGGATATTACTGTCAACATGAACGAGGTAATCTAAAAAATGTATTGGAAAAATATATATTGAACTCGTCCTTCCATTAGAGGATGAATTAAATTCAAAATAAAACCTTCTTTTTAGGAAGACACTCGATCATATAATCCTGCGTAAGAGACCAATAACAGGCCCTAAGCAGCCGAAAGATATAAATATGTTCAATTTTTTGTTTTTTATCAGTTCATAACTGTCAGTCTCATCCATGTCTGAATGGAGGAACTTGCTCACAGTATGGCACAAGATATTTCAGATGTAGTTGTCCTGCACGATTCTTTGGCTATTTCTGTGAATATAAACAAGGTAATCTGAAAAATGTCGGAGACCTTTAGATTTAAAGCAATGAATGTATACTAACTTAAGTTTTCAGCGAATAAACTAGTAGCAGAATCATATTCTATATAAAGCTTTTTTTGTACTATTTCTGCACGATAAACTTTGCAGAGATATCACAGCTAAGATTATCAGAAAAAAGGGTATATACCTTACGAGGAGCGACTGTGAACCAAATGAACATGCATGTAAAGGATCTTGCGTGTGGGGGACGGTGTTGCCCAAGGCCAGATTAGCAAATTGCTTTTGTATCCTATTGGCTCAAAACGTGGTGCAGTTTTTCGTATGAAACGGATGAAATCCGGCTGCACGATTAACCTTTGATTATAAGTCTCTGGGCTCTTTTCTAGTCGTATATAATACCCAATAGCACACTCTTGACGATGGGGTAGTTTAGAACTCAATAAGTTAAAATCTCTAGATCGAGGTATTGGTAACCGTGTTAATTTTTTCTTAAGTTTGGAATATATTTGAAATCCGCTTAAAAATAACTAGTACGATAAAACACTTCGTATCTTAACATCATAGTATTCAAAAGTTATGCTTTTTTCAACAGATTATGTGTGTTCCGCCAACCCTTGTCTCAATGAAGGAACCTGTACACCAAATAACAATTCACTGGGTTTTGAATGCAGCTGCCCTTCCGGGTATATTGGATTTAATTGTGGCCTTCAAAGAGGTGAAAGAGTTTTCTTAGTTGATAACTTTCTCTCCGCTGTCCTAGTTTGTATGATTCCATATATTCAGGGCAAGAGTTCAATCGGTCAATCAGTTGGTTACATTTCATGGAATTTATTATATTAATTCAATCCATTGGTCATTCCGATTGTCAGTCAAACACCAAGTCAGGCCAACAGTCAGTCTTTGAATCAGTAGCACATTAAGCCTCTCATTCGTTAAGAAAGATAAACAACCAACTTGTCAGTCGGTCGGTCATTGGCATGGTCATACTGGTTGCTCAAACATCAATCGACCTACCAACAAATTGATAAATCAATCAATCGATCTGTCAATCAATCCTTCACTAAATTTATTCACCAATCCTTTTATTCACAAGGTTCTTTTTCGAAAATTTTACAATAAGCGTTATAAATTGTCTTTCTTACACCAGGTTTACATAAAAATAGAAGGAATTATAACTTGATAATTTACGATTTACCTATTGAATTACAGAGTTGTCGAAGTATATGGTCTGCAATTAACTTAGTGACATATTTCAACAGGCAATCCGTGTTCAGATTCAGATAACCCCGAACCTTGCAAAAATGGCGGAAACTGTACGCAGCAGGATACTGCTTTGGGATACACATGCAAATGCACAACGGAGTATATTGGGTTTAACTGTGGCTTTCTAAAAGGTGATGCATATTCTAAAAACATATATCCTAAAGGAAATCTCAACTAATGGAACACCTCGTCGCTGAATTATTCAAAAATATATTTGTAGTAAATGAAGAACTTAGTGCAAGAAAAATCCAACCAGACATAGACTCCTTTCAAACTAGAATTCTGCGTGTGTTGCCATGTTGAATCGTATGATGAGTCGCAATTGCCACTATCATCGTTATGATCTCATTGTTTTGTTGATAATAATGGCCACCTTATGACGCAATATGAGTCAAACTTTAGACATCCGGCAAAATTCCATGACGTGGATGTCGATATTTTTCTCTAAGAAAGGAAAGTTGTCTCAGAATCTCATTTACCAGTGGGGATCTCCTTATATATTTATGTCAGTCTGTTTTGAATCCAACTTGTGTTAAGGCAAGAACGGCAAAAATCTTCCATGCCAAATTTAACCAGTTGGTCCCGCCATTTCTTCGTCACTTACGCTGTGTTTTTACGTCTTCACAGACGATCCTTGTTTTCCTAACCCTTGTCGAAACGGTGGAAATTGCTCCAGAGACATTAGTCTGAAGGATTTTATTTGCAATTGCACCTTTGGATTTATTGGTAAAAGATGTGAGAGCAAGATAGGTTAGTTTGTCTGAGATTTACTTGTACCACTGTGGTGTTAATTATCTCTTGGCACCTTAATTGGCAATGACAATAGAACTGACAGAAATCGTGCCAATTTGGGCCCTAGTCAAACTCAAGATTAACAAAATCGGACGACCACGAAACGTCCGCTTATTAAACGATCAAAAATGTTTAAAAAAAAAAAAGCCAAACAAAGTTGCCATCGATTAAACTTTTCATTAAGCAAAACAGAGAACTCGGCGAAATGAATATTTCAATTTGAATCATATGCGTGCTTTTGAATTGAATGAGCGTGCAATCCGAATCTGATTTAAAATAAAAAGCATGATTTCACAGCAAAATTGCATAAAACCAAGATCAATTACCACGTTATTGCATCCATTCTGAAATAAGAATTCAATTCCACATACACAAGATTTTTTGGTTCCTACAAATAATTATTGATCCAATACTGATCTGGTTTATGAAAAAATTTTCTAAAGTTCTTATTAATTTTTACCTCTACAATTGCAAAGACGTGATCGGACAGTCCGAGAGGAACCAACTGTGATGTGCATGTAGCACCTTTCATGGTTGATTAAAGTAAACCCTAAAATCGGTATGCACATCCTTCACAGTGTTCTCTTCTCGTTTCCTACGGCACTGAAAGGAGAAATTGTTTTTAGAAAGAAGAATTGTTTGCTTTATTCTTATTGCTTGCATGTGTGATCCAGTGATAAGACTCTAGGGCGAAATTATATGTTCGTCACTCTTGGTTGTTAAGGGTTAAGCAAAGTCATTTAGCAAACATAATTCCACAATTGGTTAAACTCTTATGAATTGGAAGATGCAAGGATGGAAGGAAAAATATCGTCACTTTGCCTTTAACATCATACGTTGTATTTATGTAGTTCATGGTAATTGGAGTCTGTGGACGCCATGGCCGAACTGTAACAAGCCGTGTAATAACGGAACACGAAAAAGGAGGCGTGCTTGTGATAACCCCAGGCCAGCTTTTGGTGGGAAAAACTGCACAGGGTTAACCTATGAGTCCGAGCACTGTAACCAAGAAAAGTGTCCAGGTGGAAGAATTCTCAATCTCTTCTTTTTATTAGCATGTTAAGTGTTGCACCTTGAAGCTCAAAGATCAAACGAGGTGACGAAAAAGAAATGGAGGTCACTTTTCATCCTAGATAAGAGTCCTTTTTCAGTCAAAGTTTCACTCGAGAAGTGACATGTAAGGTTCAGCTGTATTGCTTTCGGTGCTGAGTGTTTCTGGCAATCAATCTGGTTTGAACAGGCGGCCCCTACAGCATCAGATATCCATTAACTGTGAAGAACAAAAAAAAAGAGCTTCTGCTCACTTCTCTTCTCTTTTCAGCGGAGAATGTAAAATACCAGGTTAAACTAAGAGATGAAACATGGCAAAATTATCTTGCGGAGCTAGGAAGTACAAAATACGTGGAACTTGCGAATCGAACTAAAAAAGCTGTAAATATATCACTTTTATTATTTCTTTTCGTAATTTTTTGATTTTTCAAATAAGTTGAATTTAATTTCGTTAGCTTTTGATTATATATGGCTCGGTAAAAGTGTCTATATTATTTTATTTTTTAGGTTAAGGACTTTTACCACAAGAGGAATGAAAATGTTAAAGTTGATGAGCTCAAGTTCAAGTAAACCCTTTAGATCAATAGCCTATTTTTACCTCTCACAGCCGTGCAATTCTTCTCACAATGAATTTAAATACACGTTGTTTAGGGTCATCAGAATCCGTTTTTTAAAAAGGTTTGGCTTTGCATATCGTAATCGAATCTATCATTTGTTATAGGAAAGGAAGTGTAATTTGTAGTTTTAACGTCACCTACGAGAGCATAGACTCGCTACAGATCGTCTCTTTCCTGGAGGAAATAGCAGGAGGATTACTGGGGGACATTCCAGTTGAGTTAGACAAGATCGAAACCAATAGCGGTAAGCATAGCAAAGTTTATCAGCCAGAGTGCTTAGGAATTATTTGTGTCTGTGTAATGAATGACGCATGCTTAGATTAAGCGCGCATTTACCAGGGCATCAGCTATCGTTTCAGTGATAACGTCGGCGATCTATTACTGAAAAGATCTATGGCAACATGGAATCTTCTTGTTTAATATAAGGAGGAAGCTAAAAGTTGTTAAGAGGGATGTCACGTTTGCGTCTTTCCTTTTCATAAATCATAAGAGGCAATCGAAATGTATGTTAACTTCTGCTGATCACATAATTGTTGTTGTTGTTTTTTTGGTTTTTTGTTTTATTTCCCAGTACCCAAACGAGCTCCTGTGGTTTTGGAAACCAACAGCACAAAATCGACGAGTATTGTCATAAAGTGGAGGCAAAATCACTCCAACCCAACTCTGGGTAACATGATCGTCTACAAAGAAGCTAACGAAAAGTTCAAGACTAACACCATGAAGTCAGTTCCACTCGATGCATCTGAAGCGATCCTGGAGGATTTGAAAAAGTTCACAAATTATACCATCCGTGTGTTTGCCTTTTCGAGTAAAGGCAATGGGGTGCCAAGTGACGCTGTCAATGTAAGAACTCAAGAAGATGGTAAGTTCAGGAAGATAAGACTATGAAGAACTTTAACATTTCTTTCTGGCCTCTTTACGTTATCAAGCATGTATTGTGTCCTAGTGCCAAGTGAGCCACCCCCTGACATTGTTGTCAAATCAACAAGTTCAAGTACAATTCATGTGTCCTGGGGGCCAATCAGCCAAGCTTTCGTACACGGGATACTTATGGGATACGAAGTTAGTTACGCAAAGGATGAAGAGTCATCGGCATGGGACAACAAGACACTTGATGCCAACGAACATGAAACAGTTTTAAGTGACCTGGAATATTTCACTCCGTACAAAGTTGTGATCTGCGCGAGAACATCTCAAGGATGTGGAAAAAATGTCTCTCGCAATGCTACCACATTTGGTGATGGTGAGTTGAAGATTTTTTGGTAGAAAATGATCTAGCTACAAATCTATTCTCAATCTCTTGAGACTTTCAATCTCTCTTTAAAACTTTCGGTAGCCGGCGGAAACCTTTCGACCAAATTGGGGTTTATTTAGGTTACTTAAAGAAAAGAAGGTCACGGGGCCCACTAAAAACTGTATTTATCTTGTGGCCGACATACAGTCGGTGTGCGATGATCATTTACATTGCTAAGAAAATCGTCCGTCTATGTATGTATCTTTCCATGCACTCTCGTGAGAGAAAACTCCCCAAGGGGGCTTTTCACTCATTTAATCGCTTGCTAATCATCGTTTTTCTATGGGTAGAAATTTTCAATTATAGTACCAACATGTTTTGCTTTTGCCTTTACTCTAGTACCTAGTAAGCCTCCACAAAACGTGACAGCTGAGAGATTAAAGGCTGCAGACTCCATCAACGTCACCTGGAATGAAGTGCCGTTTGGTCACGTGAATGGTCTGTTGATGGGATATTCCATAAAGTACCGAAGGGTGAAGACAGCCGAGAAAAATGTAGTTCACTTGGAGGAGACGGCCATAGCAAAATCAACTGATTTCTGGATGGTACTCAATGTTCAAACCTACTCGGTTTATAAAATCGAAGTGGCGGCTTTTACTCAAAAGGGCCTGGGGCCTTATAGTGAATATATCTATGGTGGTAGGTATAAGTATAAATAATTTGGAATAGCTTAACGCTGTAATCACTGAGTTTAATGACAATGTACAAAGTGTCCACCATAGAGAGTTTCAAAGCTGAGCGAATGCTTGAATAGCTAGCCTCTCTGAATTACAGATGTTTGGACTTATCCCCTCCTTAACATGTCATGTCAATATTGAGAGATCCATCATTCTTAAACACAGGGTGGGGTTGGGGGGAGGGAGATTTTGGAGGATCGCATGATTTTCTGGGGGAATGGTTAGAGTGGACTATAGAACATTGACTACTAATGAATACTACTGAGCCTTATGGGGGATCAGGTCAATGTTATTATGATAGAAGTAAAGTCTTACGGACCCCACTTCCCTGGCGATGAATAATTATCGGTCCCTAACAATTTGGTGAATATCTCTCATCCATATTTTTCGTTTACTTTAAAGAAACCTGTCGCTGTCCAAAGACTCTTTACACGAACTATTGGTCAACCCCGCCGTATCTAAAAGCGAATCTAAAAGGAAACACTCTGGATGGCATTTTTAGTCACATTGTCACAGATATGATTTATTCAGCTTGTGGAGAGTGTCCTGCATACGGTTTCACCGAAATCAACTTGACTTCAAACGGAAATGGACAGCGATCCGGCAAGGAAAGCCTTGTAGACGTTCTTGGTGACATCGATGAAGTTCCACAAATAAGTTTTCCAATGTACGGCAACAGATACGTAACAAGATTTGGGGGCGTTCACCCTTATGTCAACCTCGTGGAGTCCCCTGGGTTGGCTTTTGTCGCCGCCAAGAGGACTCCAGGAGCAGCTGCAAGAAACATTGTAAGCGCTGTGTTTTCGTGCTTTCCTCTGGTACTACTGTCTGCATTTATGGCCTTTCTTTCCGGGTTCATTATATGGCTTTTGGTGAGTATATTTTATTTCGCTGTTATTCATTCAAAAAACGAAAGCTTTTTAGGAGTAGAGTTTTGGACTCAACTTCACCACCTTCAAGAGATAATGCAATAATGGTAATAATGATGTGAATATTCTCATGACCTGTTTTCTGGAAAAAGTATGGATACTATAGGGAGAAATTGCATGTCAATCACCTTTAGGAGTTCAAGGGTTAACTGAGTCTGTGAACCGCCCATAAGGAAGTATATCGCTTTCGTGGATTGCACCTCAATAGTGCTGTGTACCTTATAACCTAAGTAGACTTCAAATTTTTGTTCGTTTTGTTTTGTTTTGTTAATTGAAGTTAAATCATTGGGAATGTTTCTCTCGTCATCGTTCCCTATCTCATTATTCAGGATATGAAGAACAACCCAGATCAGTTTCCAGCCTATTTTAGCAAAGGTATCGGCGAAGGATTCTGGTGGTCGTTCGTCTCCATGACTACCGTTGGGTAAGCAAACCCTTAACATTTGTTATTTCTGCCGAATCTCTTATCGGTGTTTACTTCTTAGCAGCCATTTTTCGTTATCGTGAACCCAAGCCCCTCCTCTCCTCTCTGTATGTTCACTTGACTGTCTGTCTGTTTTTGTTTTCAGTTATGGAGACCGTTTCCCCTCTTCTGTTCCTGCCCGTATTTTTGGTATCGCATGGACCCTCACTGGAATCGTTATTATCTCAATTCTTATTAGTGCGATTGCATCGGCGCTGACGATTGTCAACGTTCCATACCCAATCAAATTGTACGGTGCAAAGGTGCGTTTCGATTGTAAATACATAATCAGTTTTCTTATACACGCGGCACAGCAGGCTACATGGCATTACTTCATCTTACTTTACTAACTAATTGAAATCTCACGCTGCTTGTCTCTAGTTTTATCTAAAAAACAAAGGAGTGGATTCCATTTCCTTCAGGGACTGTAAATTACGTATGCCGTATATCAGAATCTAATGGGAACTGGAAACTGGTACATGAACTGGATGAGAAAATGTAGCGATCGCATTACTGATGGTCTTGCCACGGAAATAGTTACAGACATAGTTACAGCATTGTTACGGAAATAATAACTCTTCATTGTTACTGGAAATGACTGTTTTACAGACTTAGCGTAATCGAGCATGCCCTTTTAAAACGTTCAGTAAATATCAGTTCTGATAGTAATTCTTTGAATTTAACTTAGATTGGAGCAATTCAAAACTCCACGGAACATCGAATTGGCACCCTAAAGAATGCAATAGTAAATGAAGGTAAAACATGAATCCCTAATCCCTACTGGTCATTAGGATATTTTGTGAGTATATCTGGTGGGTTGAAAAAATGGGGGGGCTCCGAAGCCTGCTTGCGAGAACGCGAGTTGCACGCGCGCTTAAAAGCTAACATGTACGAGAGAGATGCCGAAATAAACAGAAGTAACCTAGTCACGAGTCGCTATAGTTTTGCATGTGATTGGCCGCGAGAATGGAGTGTGCTATATTAAATGACCAATTACGAAACAGAGTAGGACAAAATTTAGTAATCCGTAATCCCTTTCGACTCTTATTTAGGAGTTGAAATAACCTGTTAATAGTCCTTCAGATTAGAATTTTAAAATGTGCAAGGCAAAAAAATTTTTTCTAATTGTTTTTATCCACAGAAAAGAAATATAAAAATCTTGAAGAAATTCGTGCAGCGCTCGAGGATGGAGAAATTGAGGGTGCCCTTATAGACACGTACGTTGCTGCAGATCACAAGAGCGAACTTTTCAGTGACAGAATCTATGTGAAGGAGATTTTGGACCAGCCACTTGGCTATGGAGTTGTTCTTTCAGGAGCAGCAGTGAATGTGGAGCAGAGATGTCGGGACTTCATCAACCTGCACATGAGTAATATATTCCACATGATAACCATCTCGACAAAGACACTTGATGTAAGTGAAATTCATAGTTGTTATTTTAATATTTGATATTAAAGTTCAATAACGCGCGCTTTCACTAGCTGAAAGAGAATACTGTATGAGAGCATCGAGCATTGAGCTGAGCTAAAGTTGTCGCGCCATCTGCTAAGCTGTACTATGTCGAACCCTTTCCTGGACTTCTCTCAAACCTTTTTTTCGTTAACTGAAAGTGAAATTTCGGAATAAGTGAGCCGACAAGTAGCGACAGAAGACCCAACAAAGGTTTGCAAACATGCTAGGTGCCGTAATTTGCGCTATTACAACGTGAGCAGAGACGAAAATCCTCAATGAGAAAGTGAAATGGACAGTCCGAGTTTTGAAGGTTTTTACCCTCCCTACACTTTCTTCGTGCTGTGGCCGCTTCCTGCGTGCTTTTACAACTGCACAGAGCACAATCAAGGCTTCCCTGTTTGTTAAGTAAAGGCTTAGTTAATGCAACCAATAGTGACTCTTTAAAATGGAGTTGTATTTCCTAGGTGGACTCATTATCAGTGATAAAACCAGGGATAAGTACGTGGTCCGGACCACAACCCTACCCCCATCAGGCCAATAAATATTTGCAAACTCCTTCCATCACCAGGGTCTTATATTAATGCTCAACCTAAGATATTTTAAATCTAAGGAACAGTCATAATTTCTCGTCAGAGTGGGAAGTGGGGATAGTATTATTTGGATGTGTCACAATAACATTTGCCTGATCCTACCCAAAGGCTCTGTAGTATTCTAGTTATCCCCTACATTGCCGGTCAATTTTCCATAACCCCACTACCCTCCCCTATAGGTTATAAAATCGCTTCTCCTCCCTATCCCCTTTCTGTTCTGTTAGCGACGACTGACCCCCTCCCTTCCCCCCTGAAAACCGTGCGATCCCCCCAAAACCTCAAGCTCCTTGCAGGTGATCAATAATGGCTGGTCACATATTATACCTGGCCCGTATAATTTTTTTCTTTGACTGTATTTTTTAATTGATTAAAAATACTTTCGTGGTTGTTGTTGTTGCTGTTGTTGTTACTGTCGAGTTTTCATTTCTGTGCTTATTTCTTGTGGTCTCTCGCAGCCTGCTCCTCCAGATGAAAATGTGGAATCAAGTACAGACTTGTTCGACGGTTCCTCCGTTATGTTCCGCATGGCCTTAGCTTCCTTGTCTGGAATGCTTGGATTAGCAATCATTGCTGGGATAACTTACCACTATCTGATTTTCGTTCCACGCCAAAAGAGAGGTAAGACGTCTTATCTCTTATCTTGAGTGAATATTTTTCAGGAATAAGTACAGGTAAAATCGAAAATTCTATGTATTTCTAAGCATTCTTGTACCCAGATATTTCATGGCCAATCAGCTGTTACACCGTAGGATCTTGGTACGAGATTAATTACAGGCAATCATAGCGCTTTGAAGTTTGGCTACTAAGGAATTGGAATTCTTACCTATTAACCCAACAACTCCTAGAAGTGATTAACATGCATCTTGTACCTATAAGGAAAGAGAGAAGCAATTCAGGATAATAACACAATTGAATTACGTGACAGAGTCACTGGTCACGGTGTATTTTAGAATGCGCCTTTATCGCCGGTTACACCGAATAGAATCCTGGGGTTCGGTTCTGAATTGTTCATAGAGGTTTGAATAGCGTAAGCTGTCAGAACTCAAATATGAAATAACATAAGCCAAATTTTTAAAATGAGTTTGCATTATAATATTGACCTAGAGCTAATCAAATTATGATATTCGATACGTTTTGTTGACGTCTTTCGTCACGAGATAGTAAAATTTGCCAAATTTTGGCCTTTTAAAATGTTTAAAGTATTAATCCGTGTGGTCTAAAGCTCTCTCCTACTATATTTCCAACTTAAATGGTTAAAATCAAAGATTTATCGAGCTACTTATATAAAACGGTCGGAGGTTGCTCAATGAACTCATTTGCATAATCGGCTGTCACGCTAGCGAAATCGGTAAAACTTTAAAGTCACCACGGCGAGGAAAATTGATAAGTGCAGGATGTTTTTATATTTTTCTGCAGCCAAACGTCTTGTTAGAAGAAATAAAGCGGAGTTTTCAATGGTCTGGTCTGGAATTGAGCAATATCAACCAAGAAAGAAACAGTCCTTTTGACCAATTTGAGAAAGCTGTCTAACGAGTGTTTTTAAATAAATTATGACGAACCTCTGAATAAACGAATATCAAAATTGAAATACTTTTTATACACCTTACATATCACACAGTCTAAGAATACAAAAGATTTTTTGCTGCATGCGGTGTGATACGAGGACCGGGCTTTTCAACTTTTGAAGTTTTCGATGTCGTAAGAGGTCAAAAAAGGGCCTTTGGAAGTTTTTATTATTTAGAGCTCTAAAAATTTTATTGTAATGTATTTCCAGAAACTAATGTGGTTTTATTTACTTGCTACCAAAGATAGTCTATTGGGCAAAGTTTGAGAGAAAACTTTTTTCCGATGCGAAATGCCCTGGACCGCACTTAAAGAGATCGCTACTTAACAATCAGATCTTGGGAGTTTAGTGGTCAAATAATTAAATGTTACAATTGCATTTCTTTATTTTACTGACTATGGTTCCTTTGCAGCAATAGTGTTGACAGGAAGACATTACATTCGCCCCCACTTTTGGCGAGTTTTTGGGGATGGGGTGGGGCAGGCTTTAATAGTTACGGGCAGTGCGTTTTTTTATTCTTTATCGTAAATTATTGTAAGCTCCAACCAGTAATTTTGGACTCATTGATAATCGTCAGTAAATATCCTCAACCTATATGTTTTTTCTTTTTCAGTTGACAGGCTAAAAGCATCTTCATCCCAACTTGCTCAGAAAAAAGCCCTAGTTGCAGAAATGAGAGATTTTGTACGCATTTTTCACTCACAGATGTCCACTCGAATATCTTCAGAGATGGATAAGTGTAAACAAGTATTAAGAGACATAAGAGAGGAAAGAAACATTTCTAAACAAGGCGGTGCACTTTTATTAAACAATGTTAAAACTAATCCAATCTACTCAGATGCGTCTGAGGGATGTGATTCCGTTGTGGCACAGCGACCTTTGGTATTCAAATCAGCGAAGAGTATTGAAGAGCTTAACAAACATAACACTTTTGTAAACACTGCTGCCCTAAATTCTTCCGGAGAAAACTTGAGCCTTGAGAGTGACTCTGATAACTGTACGAAATGAAGTAACTTTGTGTTAGGTTACACGAAGACCTCAATAATATAATGACGACAAAGCTCAGATCAGTTGATGGATAAGATGGTGCTCATGTTGCTATGGTAATTTTACAGGGTTTAGGAGATGTTTATAGCGGTGGTCTTTGACAGTTAGGCATTCTATGTTATTTCGATCTTTCACCGTGACGCGACAAGCATTAATAGTATAGATTTATTGAAGCTGTTTAAGTAACTCCAAGAGCATTTGCTTTGAAATAAACGAGACTTCTTTCTATTTCTAATCATAATAATTAGGCACTGTATTTATTAGTGATCTTTTACCGTAAGACGACAACGATTAAAAGTAAAGATTAATTGTAGTTCTATGAATAGCTCCTTAAGCATTTGCTTTGAAATAGACGAGACTTATTTCTATTTGTAATCACAATAACTGGGCATTGTATTTGTTAGTGATCTTTTGCCGTAGGACGACAACGATTAATAGCAAACATTTTTTGTAGCTCTATGAATAGCTCCTTAAGCATTTGCTTTGAAATAACAAAGACTTATTTCAATTTGTAATCATAATAATTAGGCATTGTATTTATGAGCGATCTTTTGTCGTAAGACGACAACGATTGAAAGATTAATTGTAGCTTTATAAGTGTGGCTCCTTAAGCATTTGCTTTGAAATAAAGAAGAGCTACATATTACTGGCTACCATATTTCTGTTTTTAATTATGAAAATTTGGCATTCTATTTAATATAATGGAGACGTTGACCAGAAATTTGTGTACAGAACTTTTGGGCAACGGCAGGATTCTTGTGAAAAGGAGCAAATACTCTGTCAGATGACTTTTCCTTTGATTTTAAAGCGTATTTAGGGTCATTTTAACATGAAAGGGTCAAGTTCTCACTCGGGTGATCACTAAGGGCCTCCTTCAGGTACTCACAAAGGTACTCACTCATGCACTAAAGTACTCACTCAGGTATTTTATCAGATTCTCCTCAGGCACCCACTCATTTTCTCACGCGGTTACTTACTCAGGAACCTAATCTGGGTACTCAACTGCGTAAGCATATTCAGTATACGGTCCCATGCCTTTCCGAGTAAAAGCCGCTACTCCAATTTTGTAAATCGAGTACGCTTCGACATGTAGGGAAACCGAAAGATCTGTTGGCCTCAAAGTCAGTGTGTGCTCGTCTACGCCTGAGACTTACCTCTCGGATGTTTGAACTCTTTGATACTTTGAGGAGTAGCCTAGTAATATGTCATTGATGTGACATTAATGAATGACATTAATGAATGCTTCGGATGTAAGGTTGTAGGCTTTGAAGTCCACAGGAGGCATGCTGGGAACTAGACGGAGAGATAAAAATATGATAAAAAAAAAAATTAAGGCATCGAGAACCTTATAGAAATATTTCGGGAAAAAATTAAAAACCCCATAACAGTAACTCAAAACATAATAAAAGCGTAGTTAGGAGTCTCTGTTTTGTGTAGGTTTTGTTTTTTGCTGTTGTTGTTGTTTTCTTTTATTTCATTAAAGCAATTAATATAATGTAACCCCCCTCCCAAAAAAGAAAAAAAAAAGAAAAAAGCTATTACTATCAAAATATCGATTTAAACAGGAAGGCAAAGACAAGATAGGAGAGATTAAGAATTTTATTTGTTCTTCAAATGTCGCAATTGAAACAAATGCAACATCCTGGCAACGCTTTCACTGCCGCCAAAAACTAAACTCACCATCTTCCCAAGTTTTCACAAGGTCAAAATATTCTTTTCCACAACCTTTAGATGTCCTGGCACAGATCACTACCCAATACCATGTGTTGGGAGCTAATTCATCCAACAAAATGTGATGTATTTCTGGGCCCAGTCTCTTGCTTATCCACGTCAGTGTTGACCCGTCATCCTTTGCAAATCTGACCTCTTATCCCAAGAGGATTCCATGCACGTAAGCTGCGTTGATTGGTTTCCATGAAACACGGATTGATCTTGAACTTGTGACAGTGATAACAGTGTTCGGTGGGGGTTCACTCGGAACTGATGACCAAAAAGGCCAAGTTTGAAACGGATGATTGCAGTTTCATATGAAAAGAAGTAGAGGATAGATTAGGTTTTCGTTCGCTTTGGTTTGCGACTGGTCGCCAAATCCTACGCATGTCCCTGCACCTATCGGCTACGGGACTCGCGACCTGATCACAGGCAATTTCTGTGTTCATTGTTTTAGTTCACCCTTCAATACCTCTTTCGGTATTAACTATTGATCTAATTGGCCGTTGCCATTTTTATCGGCTTTGCTAAGTGGAATTCATTTTTAAGTAAAAACACTTAAATAACTTTAACTATGAACTAATTTATAAAGGCAGATATTCCGCATAAGGTGTTGCTTTGAGAGTGAGATTTCCTCTGAAGAGGAGCTATCGTTCAAATCGTCGGCCTTTTAAAACTCGGTGGGGCATATTATCCACCTTCATCGACCTCTCATTGAAACCAATTGGTCTCTTTCACGTGCGCATTATATACTTACCATCCTCCTCAGTCCTCAAAGTCAGTGCCTTACTCGGTATTCCGTTTCCATTCCTCGTAAAAGCATACACTCTTATGGTGTAATATGTGAACTTTTTCAAATCCTCCAACACCGTCTCCTGCGGCGAGGGTAGCACAGATTTTTGGATGTCGGGTTGAAACCTGGTGATGTTCTCCTTGAATATAATAACGTAACCAAGAAGTGGAACTGAATTCAATTGTGTGACCTCCGACCATTTTTAATGAATTGTTGTTGAGGTGGGACTGTTTAACTCCAAAATAACTGGAGCTTCATTTGGCACTAAAGGCGAAATTAAGACAAATTTTATGTTAATGACAACAGTTTTGAAGTACGTTATTGTCATTTGTTGCTTCGTATACAACTGCCTTTTGTTTTCTTTTTAAGTTCTGTCCACCATGAGATCAGGATTCAACAATCTTGACCATACATAAGATGCCATAATTTCAATGCTAATGGTCCTAGAGACGAAACCATTAGAAAATTCAACCACTGATAATCTAAATTTAGAGACAAAACATCGAGAACACCACCATGATTTTTGTCTCATTAAGCAATATAAGATTTGTAAGTGCTGTCAAATTAAGGACACATAACTGTTAATCATTTTCATAACATTGCGCGCGCAAGTCCTCCATATTTTATCAGGGGTTATCATGTTAAAAGTCCTTATTTTTTTTTGAGTCGGCACGGTAACCAATCTTGCAATCTGATTGGTTCTTTACCTGGTCAGTATTTTCCTCTCTCTGCCCACGGGCTACAATAACGCTTTCATGAGTCGACAAGTACATTCCAACTTTCGTTGCCATTTTTCATAATTATATCTCGTTTTCCCGGCTGGGCAGTATTTTTAAGCAAACACGTCGGTCACTACCTCAAGCCGATGAATAACTTATGAATCCTCTCTTTTCTCTCACTCAAATCAGTTTGGTTGACAGAAAAATATTGGTTTCAGAATGAATTTGTATAAACAATAGTGTCATTACGTTGGTTGACAAGCGGCCTAAAACCCGTCTGCAATTAATTTTAATCGTTCACAAAGAGTACCTAGAAAAGTAAAACGTGAGTGTTTGGTTACAGTTAAACTGAACGATGGAACTTTCGTTCATTAATACCTGAATTTTCTCAAGCAATTTTTTCGCAGTGAAAGAGCAAGCGAAGTTTTCATTTAAGTTCTACATCAAATATACGCTCTCGGTGAGTCTTTTTAAGTCCGTTAAATCGTAAATTGCACAACAGAAACTGAAGGAATTTTTTGAGAAAAGGCCGCATTAAATGCCCTTGTGTTTTTCACCATAAGGACCTGCCAGCCGGCAAATAACATATATTTAAACCGCAGGGAAGTGTATCCATCACATGACGTGTGCAATTTCACCTCGATTGAAAGTTTCCGTCAAGTTAGAACAAGATTACCTGGTGAAACCGACAAAATTGCAGTAAGCCCTTCTTCGTTCTTTTTTTGTTTTGTTTTTTTTTTGTTTTGTTTCTTTTTCTTTTAGCACAGCTTGCGTCTGCATGCTACGTTATAGAAGAATTGGTTCATGCTTAAGCTCTGCGTATATCCTTCGTGTTATGAATGCACTTGGGAACTTTAAAGAGCACTCAAGAGCTTTCAGCTGCGTCTCAAAACTTCCCGCGTGCATCCATAACTCAACATGCGCGCACTAAGCATGGAAAAATCTCATATTTTTAATATTTTTTTTTAATCCAATTCAGAGACTATGCTATAGTTGTGATTTTAGTCGTGCTCAACAGAATATGAAAACAAAGGAATGTAGATGGCCAAGGAAGCTCTTCCATCAACCTCATCTTGTAAGAATCTTCTTATAAGACAACTATGACATAACCTTAACGAAATGCGAAACCCGCACTCGCTTAGCATGCAGTTTGCGGCACTGGTTCAGAAGGAAGTAAATCAGTTATACTCTAAAGATTCCCAGATAGTGCTTAATGCAAAGCAATTACTATAAACAATGAGATGAAGTTATCTATTCCTTAGGTCTTCTCACCATAACTGCTGGTAATGTTAAGCAATTCTGCTGGAAAATTACCCAGAGTTCCTGCGGTGATTTGTTCTTGCAAAATGACAATTTGAAGCGAGTCGATTGCTGGGTAGGTGATGTTAAAATTTGCAATGCTTCCTTGTCGCAAAAAAAAATGGAGAAAACTGCAAGTATCGAAGGCAAAGAATACAGTGTAGGAATAACTTGCTTCAGATTTACATCGGCGATTTATACTACCGATCTCCATATAAGTGAATCATCTAACACTAATATGAATGAGCTTTGACGCGTTGACCTCAAAAGGATCGAAAAGGAATTAAGAAACGCATAAGGCGAAAGAGAATTCAAGGTATTAAATGACTGTGTAAGTGCTGGCCTCAAGCACAGGCAAATGCTAGCCACCAAATCGCGATTGAATTTACTTCTACTCGTGATTGTTTAAGAGGTTGACGTTAGTTTTCCTGGACAAGCATACAACGCAACAGAGCGGACTAAATTGAACTCCCGGATCACTGCTCTCGAAACTGTAACGCGAGTATCATCTGTAATAAAACGAAGGAGATGTTGAGATGCATGAATGCGTCTTTGTTCGAAGAGTAGATAAGACCATCGGTTTAGAGATGAATCCAACAAACCAGCAAACGAACAAAGCTGCTGGTGATAGCCTCGCCCATCACATGAGCATTCTCAAGGGGCAGATTTAACCTCCACATCTAGTTTCAT